CATAGTACACTGCCAAAGAAGGTGGGAGTCTCTCTTTCTCCCTCCCACCAAGTCAAGTATCCCCGTCCCGGTCAACCTGGTCCCCCGTCCCCATCGCCAACCGGCAGACTTTCAGCCTTCAATGGCCTGCTTCACCATCATTTCGAGACCTGCCCTGTTCCCGCCATGATCATCAGCCGCGGGCCGCGGGCCACTCGCGAGGCTTGATTAGCTCCAGCCGTCACGGTGAAGGACCGCATGCCTTTTCGCACACTCTGAATGGGCCAATTGTCAGGGTTGATGCTTGGCTGTCAATATGCTCTGGGACCAACCGAACGTCCATTCCAGATTCAACCTGTCAACTGCCAGATCCATCTAAACTGCCTAGACAAGCAGACTCGACTCGGGTTGGCGGGTTCCAAGTCGTGGCCGTGGTCGGGTGACGCAGTCAGCATCCATGATCCAACGACGCCCCTCGCGCCGACGACTCAGTACCTACACCCGTCGCCATCAGAGAATGGGGATAGAGTCCAAACGAGAAACACGCCCGTTGGATTCGTCCGTCAACCAACCCAAACAGAACATATTGTGTGTCCATGTGTGATATGGAGCCCCACGGCCCAGGCGCGCGCCCGAAAGCAAGAAGCAAGAAACAGACCGAGAGAGCCGTGTTAGCGGCGGCTGCGTCATGGCTGGCCAACGCGATGCCATGAGAGCCACAGGCACGAGTCCAAAGCGCGACGCGGGGTTGCTCAATGGCACGGCGCACCCCTCGCGATGGTGCAAGTGACCATCAGGACGCCAAGTGCAGAGTAGCCTCCGTCGATGGACGCCCAGCGGTGGCATGGACGATGGCACCTCATGGCAAACGTCGTGATGGCCCTAAAGTGCGCGCATGGATGGGGGGCCGCAGATGGACAGATGGAGGCGCCCAAGACGGCACTGGAGGGGCTGCTGGTGTGCAACATGTTGCGTTGGTGTGTGCTTCCGCCTACTCTCAATGGCCCGACATAACCCCCATCACTCATCCTTTGTGCGTTTCGAGTGCCTGCACAACCGCCAACCAACCAACCGCACCAGCAGTCGCCAGTCGAGCATACCGTCTCCATCCTCCGTCACAATTCAGGCGCGAGGCCTCTGTTGGGTTTGGCTTGAGGGGATTGGTGATGGCGCATCGCATTGGATCCGGATCCCACGCCGATATGCATCAACATTATTCGAGCACGCTCACATGTTCGCCGCTTCCAAGGAATGAATTGTGCCCTGGCATTAGACTGGAGCCAACTGGGCAGCACTCGACCACTGGACCGCCGGCTTGTGGCCCCTCGCATGCCTCTGGCTTCCCACTCGAGGAATTCACAAGGGCACGCACATTCGTACATAACGGTTCCGAGTATGCCATTGGAAGAAAAAAAGGCAGCGCGAGGTAACGGCGCATAAACGGGGTAGGTGGGTGTGCGGCCTCCGCCTGGACCATTTTCACAATTTATCCAACACTCGGACGAATTAAACATCGACTGCTGCGGCTTTTTATTCTTAGTACAGAAATCCGGGTCTTAACAGCAGACTCTTGATTGATTATTGTGCCTGACGACATCGGATGGACGAGCCACACGGCCTCTCCAGAGCTGAGGCTGCCCAAGCCCACAGTTTCCTCGTCTTGATGACACTTGACAAGCTACGTCGTCGTTCGTCTCTGCTGCGGATCGGATGATGCGCACTGCGGCTCTGGCAGCATGAATCCGACCCGCCGGCCACCCTGGCCGTCATTGTCAATGCTGCTCGGGCAGTCCAGCATCTGCCGCGATGGGCTGCTCCGCGTTTCGACCTCCGGGAGGCAGCTTTTTTGGGGTCGAGGAGGGAGGGTTTTGTTGCTCGCCTGTCTGGAGCATCAAACACGCACAGCTCAGCTCAGCTCCAACTCAGCCGCTCCGAAGCATGAAGATGCGTTACGAATGCACCCACGCAGTCCACGACCTCGAAACCTGGCCGGGGGGCCACAGAGCCACCGTGACCACGGAGACGAGCGGCAGATGGCGGCAAGCCGGCGACGAGAACAAGGCACATCCTTCTCGTTGCCGCTGATACTGCGCGTTGCTATCACCATTTGCCGCCGCTGCGACTACGAATTACAGCTAGCTGCCACCTTACCTAGACCCGAGTGAGATCAGCACCCAGCAGAACCAGCGGCGCCAACGCCATCCAGGCACCTCCTTCGTTGGTTTGGTGCCTTGCATCCGCGCCTCCGTCCTTAGGTAGTCGTCTCGCTGTTGGTGTGCCGGCCACAGCAAGCGATGCGACTGGTGTGCAGCATGAGCGTGTCTGCATGTGTGACGATTCGATAAAGAACGGTACCAGCGAATGGCCGTACCTGAGCCGGCGGTCGGACACGCGCCAGCCTGCACCGAACGGCGAGTACGAGCCCAAGAAGCCATTTGTGCAAGTTGTGTGGATGTCGGCTGCTCCATCGATGCGCACTAATCCTCCTGTGCCTTTATTTGCCTGTCCTATCAACGAGCACACAGCCCCCGGGTTTATGCAGCGCGCTATCTCTGAGTTACCTCGATGCACTCAATGATCAGCAATGACTGTCGGGCCTGTCTCATCTCGTATGGCACATCGTATGGATACTTTGGTGGTGGCCCGTGAATAACTTCCCACATCTGTGCCGGTTCCTGTCTACTTAGTATCCTCATCCTCAGAGGCAGAGAGTTGAGTTTGTACCCGAGCCGAACCGGTACTTGAGGCTTGTACCTCCCTACACACCGTTTTTATTCGCAATGCGATAGTTGTGTATAGCGCTGCTGCTTCTGTCTCCATGCCCAGGGCCTGGAGCAAGTACACAGCGCCCGCTGATGGCCGCCGTCAACGCCATTTGCTTGTGTCGGCTTCGTTGCTGTAGCTCTCTACCAGCAACAGCCCGTTAGTCAGGGCATCGTCTTTACAGCTGGGGAGGAGATGGATGGAGCTGGCCGAGGGACGGAATCAGCGATACGGGACTAGGGATCGTGCTGCAGAAATGATGGCTTTTCATCTAAAACGCAGTGGCCTACTGGTGTCAAAAGCGGCGCGCTCCTGCAAGGTGTCGTAGCCGTCTTGCTCGGCCTCTAGTCAGTTAGATGGACAGCAGTCTCTATCCCGCACAAGACGGTACGGGAATCCTTCCAGACCGGGTCATTGGCGGCGGCGGCGTGAAAGGGCCTCCAGCCCGGGGGGCCAGTAGCATGGAAAAGTTGATGAGCAGCCAGCAAGAGGGACGTGTGGTGATTGATGGTGGACGACGACGTCAGGCACAGAGTGCAGACGGATCAATAGTACCTTGGCATGCACAGGGACCAGCAAGCTGTCAGGTACCCTTCAGATTGCGGTACTTCCGGGAGAGTCTGCTGGCTGCTGGGAGGTGCCCAAAAGTTGCCCGTCCAGAATTAGAATTGTCCTGGTGGCTGCGCCATCCTCCTCGTCCCAGCACACCCACACAGCTCTCACACACTCACATTGCGCTCTACTGCGTACAGCATGTAGGTACCTTCGTACGCGCACACACCACTTACTACATACCTCATATCTGACCAGCCGGTAGTGCCACAGATCCAGAGCCCACCCGTCTGATGTTTCCGCTTGCTCTCTCTGTCTGGGCCAGACAAGCAAGAGACTGATGAACCTGAACCTGAACCTGAACCTGAGAAGAAAAAGATCGGGAAAAAAGAGCGGAGACCGACACAGAGAGAGAGACTTGGAGAAAGTTGTGTGCTGCGCGCTGAAGGGTCCACCCTTTGCGCCGTCTCTTCTGCTGGTGTCTTCCTGTTCCTGGCCCGCCGCCGCCGCCCATCCATCCATCACCAGCGTCACCGTCGTCCCGTCCACTCAACTCACTAAGCAGCCAGTAAGTACAGATAGTACCTAGAGAATGTGGCAGTCAACAGTCACCAGTCCAGTCCAGTCGAGCCAGTGGTGAGGTGTGTGTGGGTGGCACATCGCCCCCTTACCCCTGTTCTCCCCTCCATGCCCACCCGCTAGGCACGGAAGCCACATCCAGAGACCGGGAGGGGTACGTATCTTGACGAGGGCTCCAGTACGTACCTGAGTATCTCAATCCACCCTGGTCGGCTGTCTACGTACCCTGTATCCACAGATACGTACCCCTCCTGGTCCAACTTGTGGGTGAGACATGCCTGCGTGGAGGAGAGGGGAGACGACGAGGGACGTGGACGAGACGAGGGTCCGTCGACAGTGGGCACAAGGATATGGACATGGTACGCTAGGGTCTGGTCTGGTCTGGTCTGCCTCTCGGGTCTGGTAACTCGGTGTCCCTACCATCAGCCTATCGACGACTTTTATCTTGGGCCAGTCGGTTGATCTTGGACTCTTTTCTACTTATCCCCCTTCACCACCCACGCTCATTTCCTCTTGCTATTCCATGATCGACACTCCCGTCGTCTACGGTACGCTGTGAACTTTTCTTCTTATGACCTCTCGGTTCTTCCTTCTTTTGTGACTCGATATTTGGGAAACACTTCGACCTGCTCGAACCATCCCGTCCTTCCTTTAAGACAAACCATTATCCAACAACCGTCCTCGAGCCCGTAATACCTCCTCAAGCCAGTCACTCTATCACGACTCTCAAACGTCAACCCGGTCACTTCGAGACGACAGGATAGACACATACTCAGGACGAGTTCCATGTACATCTAAGACAACCACCATCACTCATCGAGTCAACACAACCTCAGACCGGTCATTGTTCATCAAAGACCCGTCGTCCTATCCTTCAGATACAGGAAAAACCGAACCACCATCCGTCATTAGGCCAACTGCCCCCAACGATATAGTTCGCAAGAACTCGATTGTACAACAACCAACGCGACAACATCAACCCAATACGATTAATCAATAAAGACGGATCGAATCCCGCCGACTAACATCACAGCCCAACACAAGACAACCCTGTCTGGTGCGTTTCTGGAGAAGCAACTTCGACCTTGGTAGAGCGGGGACTGATTAGAGCGATTAGACGCATCACAATGGACGCCCACATGATGACTGCCCAGGCTTTGGGACAAGCTCCCTTCCTCTACTACAGACCCGACCAGCAGAAGCCTGATGCTTCAAGGCACCGCGGTCACTTCTCGCAGCAGCCCAACCTCCACCAGCAGATGGCCATGTACCCCATGGTTCCGACTCTTCCCTCAACTCCCATCTACTCCAGACCGACCTCTTCTTGCTCACAGCCTATGGGCCCCACGCTGTACAGCAACGGCCCTGCGACCATGACTCCTGTCGCCTCTCCCCAGCCCATGAGCAACAAGCCAGCAATCATGCTGGAGACTGAGATTTGCGAGACGGAACACATCTACTACCCCTCCACGCCGCCTCTGTCCACCTCGGGCAGCGCCATCAGCAGCCCCAACAACACCTGCGAGCTCCTTCAGACCCCGATGAACCCCATGTTCTCCGGCCTCGATGGCCTCGACGGCCTCGAGAGCTTCAAGGAGACCCTGGAGGTGCCCGAGAACCTCGCGGTCGACTGGTCCAGCTGCGGATCCCCCCCGATGACGCCTGGTAAGTAATACTCCAGCCTGGTTGTGAGTGGGCGGTGTTTGCCTCGCTGTGGTGCTGCAATCTACTCAAGCCGTCACCTCTCTCACCCATGGCGCTTCGGTCCCAGCGGCCTGGGTGTTGGCGGTGGGAGAGGCGGCCAAGCTGCTCGTGCTTGGAGCAGTTGCAGCGGGGCACGCACCTTCCAACTCAAAAAAAAGGTGACCGTTATTTTTTGGGAGGAGTGGAGGCTAACCTCATTCGGCAGTGTACCTGCAAAACCAGGTCCCTTCGCTTAGCACCAACACTAGCGACCTCCTTTCCACAGCATCTTGCCCTTCGCTCTCTCCCTCACCCTCACCGTACGCCAGGTCCGTCGCGTCTGAACAGGACCTTGACTTCTGCGACCCCCGCAACCTGACTGTCGCTGTCGCGCCCAACACCTCCAACCCGACCTTGGCCCCCGAGTACGCAGCCTTCACTGTCAGTGACGACTTCAGGGGGGACGTTCCTGCCAAGACCCCTACCTCAGCTCCTTCCAACTTTGACTTCAACCCTGCCATTCCTCACGGCCTTCCCGCCTTCGAGGACCTGTCTGATTTGGAGTCCGAGGACGACTTTGTCAACGGCCTGGTCAACCTTGGTGACGCTACCTCCACCACCCGCCCTCGCGCCTGCACCGGCTCAAGTGTCGTCTCCCTCGGTCACGCCAGCTTCATCGGCGCTGAGGAGGACTTCACCTTCGACGGCCTTGAGGCTTCTGCTGCTTGCTTCCCCAGCCCTTCTGCTTCCTGCTCCGACGACGACTGCCACCAGGAAAAGCGCCGCAAGGTCTCCATCAAGGAGTCCACTCCCGTCATGACTTCCGCCGCCGGTTCTTCCCAGGCCGCCAGCAGCGAGAAGCAGCAGAGCAACACCCCTGCCTCTGACTCCAGCAGCTCTTCCGACTCTGAGACCCCCTCTGCTCCTCTTCCCGCCCCGGTCAACCGCCGCGGTCGCAAGCAGTCTCTCACCGAGGATCCCTCAAAGACCTTCGTCTGCGAGCTCTGCAACCGTCGCTTCCGTCGCCAGGAGCACCTCAAGCGCCACTACCGCTCTCTCCACACCCAGGAGAAGCCCTTTGAGTGCAATGAGTGCGGCAAGAAGTTCTCTCGCAGCGACAACCTGTCCCAGCACGCCCGCACCCACGGCAGCGGCGCCATTGTCATGGAGCTCGACGAGTCTGGTGTCCACTCATTCGACCACGGCATGATGGGCCACCCAGAAGACTACCAGCACCTCGGCAAGGTCCTATTCCAGGTCGCTGCTGAGATCCCTGGCAGTGCCAGCGAATTGTCATCTGAAGAGGACAACGGCAAGAAGAAGAGGAAGCGCTCCGACTGAGTTTTCTCAGTCTGAGGTTGATTTTTTTTTGCATTCAAGCGCGTTTTCACGATCGACGGCGACCAATAATCGCTTCGATTACGCCCGATACGACTATGATGACAACTTCTTCTTTCCAGACCTACCCCGCTAGCGTTTACGCGGATCGGTCACTAGGGTCAAACGGGGGACCTTCCCACGCCAAGGGGGGCCTATCATGAACCACCAGCAGATAGACCACCGACGGGGAAAGTACCAAATGCAAAACAGCGCAAGCGAGGGTTCGGGCATTTTGTCAGCACTTTGCCTTCTGTGTACCAATATTTCCGACGCCCGGAACCTGCTGAGCCTCACCCGAGGTCTCGGGACGGATCAAGCGTCGAAGGGATGTGTTGTTTCAAAAGGCTGCATGATGATCACCAAAAAAGTTCAAGAACGCAAGGGCAGATTTCGGAATCCAGGACAAACGGCGTGTACGGCGGATACTTTTGTTTCACAAACAGATACAGCAAAGCAGCATGATTGTTATTCAGTTTTGACTTTTGAGAGAGAGATATGCTACGGCAAAAGGCAAGGAAAGGGAGGAGGAAGGAAAGGCAGAAGAAGACAGTGTGGTTGAGAGAGACACGACCAAGAATCATCATCCTTTTTTGGCAGCGGCCCAAGCGTACTTTTCTTTACGCTCGTTGTAATCTCTCCAGCATGTTCGGAGGCTGGATCAGCCGTCCATCGCTTTGGAACAAGGGAACTTTCTTCTGGTGAGCGGCGCCGAAGCTCGTGGTGCCTCCGGGCCCGTTTCGGGCCGTCGTCGCCTTCATGTGTTTACTTTTTTCACTACTACAACATTCAAGGTCCGAGTTTGCTCTCGTTCTTCGTTTTCTTCTTTGCAGGCTTCTTTTCTTGTTTGGTCACGGATCAAGGAGGGTGTGAGTGCAGGTCACGAAATCATCGGAAAGTTCGCGCTCGCCATGGGAAACAGACACGAACAGGATGGGAAGGCCAGATTCTGCTTCGCAGGATCCAGACATACCCGCTTGTAAACATGTACACAACCACATTTCTGAACAAAAAAAAAGACACTTTTTCGCGCTGCCAGAAACACAAAACTCCACACTGAAAATCTCGATTCGTGACTGCTTGGCTGCCTCCATCCCTCCAGATGACTGGGAGTAAGATCCAAAATCCAGCCAGACTGGCACATGTTTCCCGCTGCTTGCTTGCCCTTCCATGACTCGGTGAATAATGTTCTAGCTCATCGATCGATGAGCCTGGACTTGAGGCACATTCAGGCATGGGTTGTGTGTTGTGAAAGTGCCCGAGTGAGACAGCGCTACCGAGAGAGGCAGATTTCGTCATGGGGGCAGGAGGGTGTGGTGTGTGTGGTCTTTTTTTTCGTATCGGATGTTTTGAAGCACAACGTTTCTTATTCGTCTTGCTTCTTCCGATTGATTCACCATTGGGGGCGGCAGCGGCGCGCGCGCGCGCGCGGTGGCTGACAGAGCGAGGCTTAGCTGACACGCACATATTTTGTCTGATGCCTTTTTTTTGCAACGGCGCCCGGCATTCAGAGTGACGTTTGTCTTGGGGGCATGTCTTCCTCACAATGCCACTGTGGAAAGGCTAGCCAAGTCATCTGCGATCCGATGGCTGGCTGGCTAGCCTTGTCTCTTGTCCGTGTCTCTGTTTTTCCCTGCCCTCAGCGAACGATTGGGACAGGTACCAAAAGCGAGGCAATGGAGTGGGCGCACCCCTCTCGTTCCGCGGCTTCTCCCTCTTGGGCGGCGCCCCTCCCATAACCCATGGGACCGCGTTCGCGGACTGAGGTCCGGCTGTAACGGTAATCCTGCGATTCTCTACCTCTGCCGGACAGGGACCCAGGACGGAGAGACCACTTTTCAGTAAACGAGGCAAGGCCACATACATGCGCTGTGCAAGACAAGGTGGAAGAAAAACGTTCTTTCTTTCTCCAGAAAATTTCCAACGGTTCGGCATGCCCGTACATCCCCGGCATGGGTCTTTTTTTCCCTCTCTTTCTTTTTCTGTTGGCTGTTTTCAGTTGGCTGACCTTTTTTCTGTACAAGAGGGACGGGACGCGTGTAGGCGAATTTGATATCCACAAACGCCAGGGCGAGAGCGAAGCATGATATGATGATGCGCCGCCACTCAAATCATGCAACGTCAACATCGATCGGATCCAGGGAAAAAAATTAGAAACGCAGCCTCTTATTTTTAGAAAAATCTCATACTGCAGTGCAGTATAAGAACAAATGCGACGATGACTGGAAAGTATGTCTGGCATGTCAGGAAGAGAAAAAGAACGTGAGAGACCACCACCAAACACGTGTGCCTTTTTTTCCCCCTTCCCCTCCTTAATACGAGATGTTACGGTAATAACGAGGTGGGGGATTGGCTGGTCAAGTCAGGCAAGGCGAACCAAAGCACAGCCTGTTTGATACCATGCAGCAGTAGCAGCAGCAGCAGAGATTTTCAGATGCGGCACATGCCCGCTCGTTCATTCGTCGACGTTCACTTGAGCCAATATTAACAGCAGTTTTAAGAAAGTGGTGGTGGTGCTTTGGGGTCGATGTGGGATGCAATAAACAGCATACCTATTCGTGACTGCAAGGTGCCAACCACCAATTATCTGGGTAGCTAGCCAGCCATTCACTTTCCACAGACTTACAACATGTACTTCTTCGAGACGGTGTTACTTTGACCGCATGCCTAGCTGCCACCGAGGTCCGATACGGTTTGCCTCAATGCTACGTACGGCCCGTGTTGGATGGCAAGGTCAGGTTCCGCCTGGGGTACACTATTGGATTGCACAGGCCGACGGCAAGAAGTAACACCCAGACCGCGAGTCCTCGCAAATGAGCCGATTAATTAAAAAAGATACAAGTGAGGAAATCTACGCCATGCGAGGGTGAGTGGTTCACCGCTCATCCTCTCGATCATGGCCCAAGCTTTTGGGGGGTTTATCTCATGTCAAGCGTCAGTTGTCTCTGTGCGTGCAGCAGTAGTAATGAGATGAAGAAGAGATGAGATGAGTGTGTTGGAGTATCCGCACGCAATGCACGCACGCACGCACGAGCACGAGCACGAGCACACACCACATGCGCAGGTACAGATACAGGCTGTCGACGACAACCTTGACGTCTCGTGGGCCGTGGTCGCCACGGGCCAGACGGAGAGAGGCCGTTGGGGCCGGTTGACCGCGCTTCTTTGCAGTGAAGCCAGGCCAGGCCACGAGGTTGCGAAGGTTCGGCGCGGTGAAGAAGATGGAGGTTGCAGTGGTCAGTGGTGTCTCGGACCTTTGACAAGACGGGGGCCAGCACGGTTCACTGCGCTGGGGCCGGATGGACATTGATCTGGATCCCGAATGGCGATAGACATGTCCAACAAGATGTGGGTTGTGTGAGTATCCGTAAGGTAGTGTAAGGCATCCGTCGTGCGGTCGGTTCGGTTCTTCCCTTGACAGCGACGACGATGATGCTCGTCTAGAGCGGTCTGCCTGAGGATGAGGTGAAGATGAAGCACCACTCAGAAATGTTTGACACCCGTGCTCACCATGTCGGATCTCCAGTTCCAGGTTCTTGTTCAAGACTTGGAGACTGGAGTTGACCGGGCCAGGCTGGACGTCCCTACACCGCAAAGTCAACAAACAACAAAAACAGCAAGACAGGCGAGTCTGTCGACGGTGTCTGGCACAATCAGCCCATGAAGCATGAAGCGAACTCCAGCAGGAGCTCCAGCGCAATTTTGGCGCGGCCCGCTCAGACGAAGTCTCCAAAGAGTCCCGTCGTCCCAGGCGGTAGCGGTGCGGCCCCGAAGGCCCCAAGGCCCTCCCCCCGCTAATCTACAGGCCCGTCGCCCGCCCGCCCTCTTAGGCTCAGAAGCTTCAGTACCTCCAGGGTCACCTAAGGCACCTCAGGTAAGGTACCTACCTACCTACCTGAGTGGACCAGTGGACGGTGGACACTGAGGTGCGTATCCGTACTGGGATCCCTAATAATGCCGTGGAGTTCTTCCCGGGTTCATGGGGAGGGGAGGGGTCTCGCTGGGTCTTTTTTCTCCAGCGGGCAGGCCATTCTCACTTCTGCCCGGCACGTTGTAGCAAATGGGATCCCGCGATGGTCCCCCGGTTCCAGGTTCCAGAGCGAGACGGGCCTGCGAGGCTACGACGTCGCTACGAATATAAGTACACACTGCACTAGCCCGGGGCCAATTTCGACCTTGGACGGATGGGCATGAAGTCAAGCATGGAAGCCAGCCATCATCATACCCATGAGACCAACCCATGAGGCCAGGACCCTCTCCGCCATCTCCAGTCTCCCAGGGCCTTGTCGTCGTCGTCTTCTTCTTCCTCTTGTTCAGCGGCGCCTTCAGGGACCCTAGACACCGAGGGGTCGCCGTCCCACCAGCTAGACACAAATCAAAAGGCACTGGACCAGTCGGAATCTCGATGAGGGCCCAAGGCTAGCCTTTCGAAACTTCCACCGTCTCCATACCTTCCATTGCATCTCCAATTGCCGTTCCTGCAGCTGACCTTGCAATTCCAATAGAACATTTCGCGCGTCTTCGACATACCCTGCAATAGAAGCTCACGAAGGTGAGGTGGGAAATGGGCCCAGCTAGCCTTCTGGCAGGCTTTTCCACTGCGCACAGCATGCAAAGTACCGATTGAACGGCGGTACAATTGAATACACTGAGGTGCCTATTCGTTAGGGACCCAGTCGTGTAAATTGTCCGAGCGGAGCGGCGCGCTCGCTCCAGTCATGATTTCAATTTTTTTCCCCCTCTGTTCGCCCTCCTCTCGCTTCCGTTCGGCGAGCCGCGACGACCTCCAGCAGAACCGGGTTCCTTACTCACTCCGTTGCCTCGTACCACCGTCTCGCGCTCAACTAACTGGGTAATCAACCATTGACGACCCCCGGCCTCATCCATCCACGGCTCTCAAGACCCCGACGGACGGAGCTCCGAGTCATTCAAGGGTCCCTTGGACGGCAGCTCCTGGACCACGA